TATGACGATATCAGAATAGTTCTCAGTAAGCTCAACATCAGAGTTCTCTTCAAAAATCAGACACCCTACGAATCAACCTTGTCCATATAAAAGACCAATCCCTAAATATTCTCTATCTAATTGTGTCTGTAAAATAAAATGCTTGGAATGTGATGCAGTATAAATCGCACAAACATCGCGAGAAAACAAAATCAGAAGAAATCAACACCGTAGAACATTTGTTCGACCACCGAGAAATCCAGCTGAACTAGTGAAGCCTGGAAAATCATCAGCCGTAGGTTTACACGCTATAGAATCAGGTCACAAAACTGATTTTGACAATATTGAAATAATCCATAAAAATTTCATATGTCACACAGAACTAATATCAGAAGCACTTCATATCAAATGGAATCCAAATTTTCTGAATAGGAATGATGGACTAAAACAGAATTTGGTCTGGTTACGACACCTCTCTGCTACATGAAATGACGAAGTCAACACGGATGTGATAAGCAATTTCATTATGTGAACACACGCTGCTTTTATAATTTTATACACTTATCAAATCCAACAATCTACACCTGGTTTTGTTATCTTTACCAACTGGCCAACTTGACAATGCAAAAATGCCCCCAGGCTGATGAATGGTGATTAAGTTGTTGTAAATTTTGGTTTAATAATACTTTGATAGAGCTATTAGCAGTAGCGTTAGATAGGGAAACGTCAGTAAAAACAATATCGTTTTGTTTTTCATTCATTAGGAAATACAAAAAAACCTTTATTATAATGAATATCATATACCCAATGCCCAAATTTTCTCAAACTGTTAAAAGCGAACTTGGTTTGGACACATATAAAATAGTGGAATAATTTACGGATTAGTTTGACCACATATGACTATTCTCCAACCTGGTTCTATTCTCCAGCTGGGATTGCCTATCACTGAAGTACGTGCAAAATATAGCCCAAGCATATTGCTACAAATACACTGAATCACACAATGCGAGAAATTGAACTGCTGAAAGTTAACTTGGTTTGGACAATATACAGAGAAGAAGTCTGGTCATCAGAACGTTAAACTACCTCTCTAGTAGATATTTTTGTCTCGAGAAATCAGTTACCGATTTTGAGTTGTTTTTAATTGAGTCATAAGAAGAAGACATAAACAGCTAAGAAAAACTTTCTTTTCGACAATTCATTTCCATAAGCTGTACAGTAGTAATTATATTTAACAAAGAAATTATAAGACCAATCGGATACTGGTAAAATTTGTCCTCGAAAAATCTATTACCTAATGTAAGATTCACTGAGAAGCGTTGACTAATTGGAAGTTAGCAAAGAGGCAGAAGTTGGCATGAAGTATTCAGTGTGAGAAAATAACTGATCAATATAATTGTTTAATAATTCCCATTGTAGCATTAAGAACACAATATTCAACGAAGAGACTCTTTTCAACGAATTTATTATCAAGCTGTACACTCGTATATATATGGTTTTTAAGAAATTATATCCGGTGAGGGAATTAGGTCAAAGGTGTGAATACATGAAATGATAATAGTATGAAATGTAATTAAAATATTTGTGATTATAATCATAGTTTAATGTCAAATGGCACGATAATAATTGTCGTGTATAGAATAATATATAACGTGTATAGATTTTGGAAAGGGGTACATAATTATAAGAAAAGTAGACGAAAATAAAATGTTACATAACATGGTGTGAAATTTGATAAGATAGGATTCAATATTGTAAAAATAAAAATATAAAAATTAATAATTTTGTGTTTAAAATGTCAAGTGGGTCAAGTGGAAAAGATTCAGAGTGAGAATAGTAATAATAATAATAATCATAATAATATTAATATTAATCGTAGTAATAAGGGATGAGTACATAGAATAACTAAATAAGCAAAATAAATAAATGTTTATCCCTCTACGGCCAAGGCAGAAGTAGGGATTGTATATACTTCTTTTGTACACAAAGGTCTGGCTTAAAGTCATGAATTGCCAAGGCCTCAGCTGTCTTAAGAAGTCTGTAACGAAATAACGCCGGAAGTTAGCATGGATTCTATATATGATCTTAAAATCATGGTCAGGGTTGACAGAGTGACAGAAGTCGATCAGGTGTTCCAGAGTAGAGCTTCGCACACACTTCCTTTCTCCCTTGTAAAACCATGCTGGAATATGTCCTCGTATCCGTGTGGAAAGCGTCCTCTGACTACGGCCAATGTACCTTGCTCCACAAGAGCAGGTGAACTGATAGATTCACATGGAGGCGGCCAGACGGGGGAGCTTATCTTTTGCAGAGGTAGAAAACAACTTGCGGCTAGTGAACGTCATATGTAACTTTGCTGCATAGAACGTCTTACTGACTGATTTAGAGAGACGCGGATTTTGAGCATATCTGAAGCTTGATCACCTTCGAATTCCAAGTTAATTAATAAGGTTTTCTTTGGAACTGTGTCGGTGACCAGTTTAGACTGCTTATCTTTCATGTTGCTGTCAATAAATCGGTTAGGTTAACCGTTTTCTGCGAGCGTAGCTTTTAAGAAGTCAAGTTCCGAGTCAACGGAATCAGAACTACAAATTTTCCTTATCCTAGAGCAGAGTGAATGAATTAAGTTCCTTTTCCTGGAAATAGGCACCCAACTGTAAAAATTAGTTAGTTGTTCCATGTACGTTTCCGGTGGAGAGATCTTTTGAGAGATCCGTCATTACGTCTGCTAAGGCACACGTTATTTATTTTGCCACTTGACATTAAACTATGATTATAATCACAAATATTTTAATCACATTTCATACTATTATCATTTCATGTATTCACACCTTTGACCTAATTCCCTCACCGGATATAATTTCTTAAAAACCATATATATACGAGTGTACAGCTTGATAATAAATTCGTTGAAAAGAGTCTCTTCGTTGAATATTGTGTTCTCAATATAATTGTGTAAAGCGGACCAGAACTAGTGGAAACACGTTTAAGTGTTTTTAAAAAATCTGTATGCGAACGCAATATTATTATTAAACAGTAGTAGACTGATCATAAAATAAGGATGATGAGAATAATAATAGTAATAATAATAATAGCAGTTAACCTACATAGTAAAATGAAGCAAAATTATAGTGAGAAAGTTACTCTGGCCACGGTAAGGCGAGGGAATGCATGTGGTGCTTTTGAATGCACAGGTCTGGTTTCAGAGGCCGAATAGCCAATGATTCGGCTATGTACAGATGGTGAATGCGAAGTCCTTTTGTACAATATTGAGTGCCTCTATGTATCACTGTGAAGCGTTCATTCGTTTTTAATTGAAATGTGTGTATTTCAGAAGTCATTGAATCAAGAATGATAAAAAATTTAAGAGCGATCAATAAACGGTTAGTTCTAATTGCACAAGTGTAAGCATTGTTTTGATTATTCGAAGAATGCGATTCGAATTATACCACTACGCATAGGCAGTTTGCATGGTTATCCGTTAAATCATAACTATAAATAACTCAGTACCAGTTCGTATGTATAAAAACAATATTTTCGATACGTTTATTCTATAGATATCAATCAAGTAAGTGAATTCATATTTATCACAATAAAAAATACACTTGTAGCTGTGGAAATCAGTTGTGACAGTTTCTGAATGGTTATAATATTTAACATTTTAAATTCTGAGGTGTTAGGTGGTCTTCTTTCACGCGTGTCTAAGGGATATTTCAGACATTTGATTTTAACGGCTAGTAATTCATTGCTCTCAATTACAAAAACTTCTAATGCACTAAATCAATACCATTCTTCTTCTTGCCGTTAGATGAGTTCTAGCTTTACTGAAATGTATCTGAATACTGCCAATTGGTTGAGAAGAGTAGTTGTATACCACTCACATGAACCAGTATCACCCGCTAGCTAGATTGAAGTGATCTAAACTTCGGAGGGTCACTTCGCTCAGTTTCTGCCGAGCTCACCAGAGGTGTACCCAATTTGACTCAGCTCAGCGACCTAAATCACTACAGATCGCCAGATTTCTGGCTAGCTACTTGGGTAATGTGGTGTCCCTTTAAACCAAATCCGCAGTCCGCGAAATGATTAGCAATTTACAAAAGCTGAGATGAAATTTCACCAAAGTTCCCTTTGGAAACGGAAATGGCGGTCTGTTTAAATCACTGGGTTACCGAAATAGCTTTCCACCCAAATGCTTAAATTCATCTGGATTTATCATTGTTTTGATCGTCCCGTTATATCAAATGACATATACATGAAATTGCGCGCTGATTTAACTTGCTTCCAAGTAAATGCCATGCACTTCTTCAATGAAATGAAGATATACTTCAGATTATTACTTTACATGTAAATCCTGCACAAAGAAAAATGTACTTTGGAACTAAATACGCTGAAAATTTTTGTACCATGTGTTCACATATTATCTGAAATAAAGCTTTATTATTATTATTAAAAGTTATTCAGATCGCAATACGTGATTTCCTTGATATCACAAGCGGTAATCAAGAAAGTAAACGTATTTGTGTAAAACAATATAGAAACCAAAATTATTGAGACCACAATGTAGTTTTTATAAACATGCTCTCATACTCTATTAATTGCAATTTCCGAATTTGAGCGGAGTTTAATTGATTACAGATTTTAGTGTAAACTGTAAACTCATTGTCCGAAATGAATAATTCTATCGTCTGTTAAACTTGCGGACTTTTATCTTTTCAAACAAAATACTGACGATAACAGTTATATGATTATATTTTTATCGTTTTTATTCAAGTAAGAAAATGATAAAGCTTGGTAATTAAGATTGCCATAGATTCAAGGTTAGGACTTGTCTTTGCTATGAAAAGCTGACCAATAGTGTTGGTCCACATTATGATCACATGAATTTTCAACCAATCAGATGAGAATATTTGATTACAGGATTAAGTGTCCTTTTTTCTTCTACCAATCAAAGGACGGCTAGTGATAAGCGATTAGATAGACAGACACGTACGGTCAAATTCCACTTCTAAAAAATATATAATGTCAGAAATTTGATTACCACACAAAACTTCTTTTCTTCATACCATTACTGACAGGGGATTTTACATAATGGCTGATCAAAAGTTATCGAAGGCTAAAGTAATTTTTGTGTTGGGTGAGAAAGTATTTTGAAATATTAATTTATATGATATTTTGACCGAAATACCAATAACGAAACTATTCATTGTGTGTAAACCATTGAAATATGATTATCCTTTATTTAACTTCTATCATTTGTAAAAATCATTTTATTTTATTGAACTTTATGCCTTTCGTTGGACAATAGTAACTAGTGTGATATTTCTAGTCCTCTATGTGGGGCTGACTGAATTCTATCAGTCAGGTTTGCGATATGGTCACCATTCTAGGTGGCTCACCACTACGGTGCACTCAGAATTGTTGGTAGGAGGCAATTGGCCACAGGAAGCCTTGGACTTAGGTTTCGTGCTAGTTGGCACTCACCAGTCAGCAAGGCGTACATACAGCCTTGAAGGAACTCATGTCCCTCACTTGGAGATCCAAACCCGCGTCACCCAGTGCTGCAGTCAGAAACGTTACCAGCTTAGAAAATCTCATTTGTGACTAGGCCAAAATAGTTTTCTGATGATAAGCGTTTCAGGAAATTGCTGCCCATTATGCAGTGGTATTTATTATGAATAAAATGCCGTAGAATCATCTATTATATACACCGAACAGGGAAATAGTTATGTATTCTTTCCTAACAACTGAAGGAATGTCGGCGTCTAATAGAAACGTTATATTTGCATTGTGCATGCAATTTAAGAAAGCATTCAATACTAGGAGCTGAGTTTTATGACCAATTATTTCCAGTCAATAGAAGATTACTGCAGACTTGAGGGTGGTATGTTAGACACCGGTAATCGCTCTAAGAATTGTATTACTAGGAGCAACTGACAAATACAGATAGCTTTCCCAAGTGTAGAAATGATTTATATACACTAATAGAAAGTTTCAACATCTATTTCAAACTGTATTATGTTTCTTTTATGCCAGGAGAGGTTTTTTTACTATGCACTTCATCTGTATAAATTTGTTACACTGATTTGTTTATATTTATTGTCGTGTCATTACTCCAGAGCATAAAATGAGTCATCCATAGAGACAGTGCACATACTTTGATTAAATTATATTTTTAATGTTTAGATTGATATACACTTTGAAAATAGCTCAAGGTTATAGACAAAACTGAACTGGGCCTTGTCGACAACCCCACTGTGATTGTTAAGAAGTCAGGAATTTGTAGACTATAGGTCGGTGGCATAGCGGTTAGGACGCTCGCCGACCATGCACATGGTACGGGGTTCGATCCCCGGCCGGCGCACTCCTTTACCTGACTAAGCCAGAACTAAAGCTTGTGAAGAGGAAAGGTTGGGCATGAGGCTAGCAACCCCATCCTGTAAGAATAAACACTGCTACAGAAACTTCAAGCCTCTAGCTTGAAGCCCTATGTTCCACTGGGAACGTCAAGGAATAAGAAAAAGGTCATAGGTGAAAACAATTGCAGTGGCATTGATGTATTGGTTCATTATCATTAAGTATTGAGTGATCTAATCAACTTCGATTTATTTTATCTCCCTAGTGCTGATTATCTAAGCGCCTACTTGAGAAATGCTTGGATAAATGAATATGTCTATTAGTTATTTTCATTCTCGTGGCAATTAGTTCTCTCCTTTCCCCGTATACTAACTGATTATGTTAATATCTTTTTCATTTTATATTTTCCCGCATGTATGAATCAATTTCAAACTATTCTTAAAATTCAATACTGGTTTCAGTTTTATCTTAGCTGGTATTTATAATACCGTCTGACAGTAGTCAGAAGTCTTGCTAAGTGACAGATACAAACAAACATGGAGGCCTGCTTACATCACCTGGTTACCCAACATTTTCTCATCCATCGAAATGCATCATATTTACTTCATTACAAGTTGTTTTAATGATCCTATTGCGTTCATGAATTGCAGCGTAATCTCAAACCAACATTTTCAAAAACTATTCAACCTACTGCTATGAATATTGTGAAGAGAATAGGAGAAAAATTCTGTGCACTAGTGGAGTATGGTTTGGGTAGAACGATACTGCTTCAAGTGATGCATTATTGATTGTTGTATTATTTGGAGATCTTGCACTAGAAGTAAATATCTTGTAATAAAACAAGCTGAAAGTTCTGTTCGGTGTTTACAGCCAGTTTTCAGGATAGAGCTGTTATTATTATATGGTACCTAACACCAATCATGACTGGTATCCAGGTGATGGTTATCGCGTCTTAAATAATGCGTCAACCCCTGATCGATATCCCATCCCATACCTACTTGATTTTACCCTTAAACTGCATAGGGAGGTAATATTCTCTAAAGTTATTCCGTCAGGGCACTTCATCAAATCCCAATAGCAGTAGAAGATATTAAGAAAATGTCCAGGTGCTCACTTCCTAGGCTTTAGTCATTGGAATGTCAAATATGTAGGCGACCGATAAGTGTCAAACTTCAATGAGACAGCTATTAAATGATCTGAGTGGTCAGTCAATTCTCCTGATAGTCCGAAAATTCACCTCAAAAATCAAAGTATTACTGGAGAGGTAGACCAATATGTCCAGCCTTCATTATAGTTTTACAACACAAATATGCGTTTTTTTATTGACATCACTCATATCTTGAAGACTCGAATTGCCTTCAATTCCTTGTCGTGATTTCAGTAGTATAAACAGTTTTTATCTTTTGATTAGACACTAGTAACTAGTGTGATGTGTCTAGTCCTCTCTTTGGTGCAGACTGAATTCTATCAGTCAGGTTGTAATGTGGCCACCATTCTAGGTGGCTCGCCATCACGGTGTACATTGTTTGTGATGATATTAGATGGTTGGAGGCAATCGGCCACATGAATCCTTGAACCTATGTTTCCTGCTAGTTGGCACTTACTAGTCAGCAAGACGTACCTGCGGCCTTGAACGAACTCATGTCCCCTCTGAGATTCCAACCCGCGTCACCCAGTGCTGCAGTCAGAGACGTTACCACTGAGCTATTTTGGCTCTCTATTGACCTCCTGTAGGACTTTAATGGATAGTTTTTTCTTTGGTGCAGACTGAATTGTATCTTAATATTATTCTCTTCCTATGTTTCCTTTATTCATAATACTTTAAATTGTAAGGAGTTGGTACATTCCATTCTGTGTTAGTTTATATATATGTCAGTGTTTCTATCGCATAAAGTTTACGCCCTCAGATACGTTGATGATCATCAAAGGTCTCGTAATGCTGTATATTTTTAATTTTGGCAAAGTTTTGATGCACACCTTTGTTGTTAAATTGAAAGAAAGGGTGTAGATCTGTTTTCATTGATTTGTTCCAAACATCATTAGAGATTTAATTGACAAATCCTAGCTAGGCAACATTCTGTTACACTGATATTTGCTTTGATTGTTTGCATATTATGTAAATGTGTATTTTAAGAAAAAGAAGAATTCAATGTTACATTTAATTTCCAAAAGATTTATTTACTAATTAGGATCGTGACTATCTGACAGAGTTTTAACTAATTGGCTGTCTTCTGTTTTTTACTAGTTATATGCAAACGTGTTTAATCTTTAGAATATTTCAAGTTGTAACCTAACGACAGCATGTTTAGTAGTTTAAAGCCACCATTAAAGAAATATGCTTCAGTGAATAAGTGAGTGAGTAAGTGAGTTAAGAATTTAGTCGCTCAATTCAACTCACTGAAGTATTTCTGTCCACCACATATTACTACTATAGATTAAGTCTCTGACACTATTATTAAATGCACCTGAAAAGATTTTAACATTTTGGAGTTTTACGCTAATATTTAGTTGCCTTCTTTTTGTAAAAAATCTCGAGTTTATTGGATTAAAGGCCGTCTTGACAAAAATTGTAAAGGAATGTTGTTAACTTAAATTAAATAGGCCGCATCGTTGGACCTTTGACCTTATCGATAAAATATTAATTCTGCGCTGTTCCATAGATGAAAAATGAAGCTGTAACTACTTACTGAAATAATCACTGAGTGACACAGCACAACATGCCCACGAATGGAATCCTAGGGGGGAACGACAAGTTGGAGGGTGGGGGGAGCTGTAAGTTACATAGAGAAGATAACATAGTGAGGAGATGAAAGCCTATGGGCTATAGTGGAGACAACTAAAAAGGATAGTAGAGAAAGGGATGAAATGGAATTGTACTGTTGAAGCCCTGCGCTTCACTCGGAAACCAAGGGAATACTAATACCAGTATAATAATGCTGGAGTTACCTACATTCATAATATGAAATGGATTCTTAATTGTAAACGATTTGGTAGCGATTTTATGCTTCTAAAAGAATTAAAACTTTATTTTAGCATTCAGGTGAATTGGTGCATAAACTGATTCTGAAATACAAGGAGGCTTAAGTAACACTTTTTTTTACAGGATTTCTAATTTTCTGTTTTTAATTTTAAACATTAATTTTAATTAACAAATAGTAGGCTTAAAACTATGTTGTCTAATGGACTGCCAATTTAACTGTTATCTTTTGCAAAAAATATGCATTACCATCGGTTGATAGATAGACAAACAGACAGGTAGATCAGAACAGCAAACATGTAGAAATAGATAGACACACAAAAGAATCATTATTGTGAGACCGAAGGTTAGTTAAATGGATGCTAATGAAAACACTCAGTTTCTAAGTTGATAAAAATTGAATAAAAATAAGTATATTTTAGAAACTTTATTCAGTGGCGATCCACTTCTTTACTAACTGGTTGGACTGACCTTCTTTATCTAATACTCTATTTTGTGATCAATAAACCTGCAGCGTATTTGGTCATGAATTTGAAAGATACCAATTACAGATCAAAGTATCTTATTCATAAAGATTAACCATCTAAAAGTGGCTGTGATACTCCTACACAGTTGAAGCTAGTTGTTTTAGGCATTCAATTTCCAACCAACAGGTTGCAGGTTCGAATCCCGTTGCCCGCACCAAGATTTGGGCAGCCCTGGGTGGTATAGCCAGTGCACACACAACTTATATGGTTCATTACCAACTGTAAGGAATTCCAAGTGGTTGTCGAACAATCCTATTACACACCTTTAACATAAGCTTCAAGCAAAGTTTTTTAACGGTTAAGAAACAAAAATAATTTAACCTTTCTTTATCCTCTGGTAAATACCTGTGCTAAGTGATTTATTATCTCTCCAAGTTAACAGGATAAAGTACACAGAATTTAAAGTACATATGAAGTAGCTACAAATATTATTTCTTACTCCTATAATGCAGATATTTACGAACCACAAATTACTTTGAATATCGTCACTGTGTCTTTATTTTGATGCACCATTATCTACATGTGTTTTTAAGAAAAACTAATCCAAAACGATAAACTCACAGAATCCTTCGGAGTGAAGACGGGAGTAAGAGAAGGCCGGCTAGCTGGCTGCCTACTATCTCCAATGATTTTCCTGATTACGGTAGACTGGATAATGCAACAGACAGAGGCGGGCGACACGGAGACAGGTATAAAATGGACTCATACAAAAAACTTGGAGGAACTGGACTTCGCCGATGATATTTGTCTGATTTCCCACAAATTGGAAGATATGCAAGCGAAAAACAACAAGTTGGCCGAAGAAACATCCGGAGTAGATAGGCCTTTAGGTGAACATAGAGAAAACAGAGGTGGTGAAGATTCCTGGCCAATAGCAAAAGCAACAACAACAGACAACAATCAGCCAGCATAAATGGGAGAAATTTGAAGGAAGCAACCTCCTTTACCTACAGACCTGGGAAGCATCGTTTCAACTACAGGTGGAGAAAACTGACGAGGGTATCAAAGCGAGGTTCGGGAAAGCAAGGTAAGCTTACATTTCTCTCAAGTTTGTATGGAGGTCAACAGCACTCAGAATGAAAAGCAAGACCCGGATTTTCAACTCCAATGTGAAGTTAGTGCTACGTTATGGATCAGAGACTTGTCGCGTCATGAAGAGTACTTTAAAGAAACTACAGGCTTTCATCAACAGCTGTCTTTGCTCAATACTACTCAAGATCAGATGGCCAGAAGCGATCAGCAACAGGGATCTCTTGGAGCGAACCAGCCCGGCAGGAACTGATTCTGAAACAAATTTGCATGCATGAAGAAATGGAGGTGAATGGGCCATACTCTGAGTAAACAAACAATCAAGTGGTTTCCCACGCGAGGCCATCAATCGAGTGGAACCCGGACGGGAAGTGGCGAGTTGGTCGTCAGTGTGAGGGTGACATGGCGGAGGTCATGTGAAGAGGAGATGAAAACATGTAGGCAGACGTGGAGCCAGGTGAAAACGTTGGCGGAGAACTGAACTGAATGGAGACGTGCGGCTGAAGCCGTATGTTCGTCTAGGAACTAAAGGAAACAATAATAGTAACATAATAATTTTTAAGAGAATAATTCCAAATTCCTTGACGATAAAGAGAATAAAGAATCAGAAAGAAATTGGACGTTGCCGAGAAGACTATTACTGAAAGAGATGCTATCCTTCAGATAGGAAACCACTGACTTTATCACATGAATGCTTAACTAAGAAAGTGTTAGACTTCATTTGACTTCTATTTTCAAAGAGTGTCTAGCCAACTGTTGTTTAATTTTTTAATCGAAACTAACTGTCTTTTGTGTTGTTCTCCTTTTCTCTATATATATTGATTTCAGGTGGACCAGGAAGTGGTAAAGGTACACAGTGTGCGAAATTAGTTGAAAAATTTCATTTCAATCATTTATCCAGTGGAGATCTGTTACGTGATGAAGCTAAGTCAGATACGCCTAGAGGCAAAGAATTAAGAACTATAATGGAGAAAGGAGAATTAGTTTCTTTGGTAAGAAATTGTTTCAAAACTTTAACAAGGATTGTATATAGAGTGTTTTAATAGAGAAACCTTTTGGTAAATACGATAATTTTTTATATAAAGTTAAATTAAACTACACTTTGGATCGCAAGATATGTACTGAGTAGATCGTGATCATTTTTTTTGAAGTTACTCAAAGTAAAAGTCCATAAAAGTCAAATCACTACGAGAAATAAATAAGTATTAGGTGAACACCGTTCTATGTATGTATGTCCCGTGACATACTTATGTCCGTTTGCAATATCTACTTATGAATTAACCCGTTCAAGGTCGGACTAAAACCTGACATTCTGAGGGACATATGAAATTATTTTACTATATAACATCATATCTTAAAATTTATTGCAACCACCTTCCACTGACTGCCAGTTATATCGATAATACTTCTGTTATTTGACAATCAAAGATTAAAATTTGTCACAATTTGTAATATAACTTCACGTAGGTTTTTTCTGAAGCTCACCTGATATAACCACACAATCTGTTCAGTACCGTTGTTTTGCCTAATAATCATTTCACTCCACACTAGTAAAAGCTTTTGTCCGGCGAGAAAAGCTAGTGACCTAAATGGCTACTGTAAAAACAGAAGACAAGGTCCAGACAACTGATCGTTTATTTAGGAAATCAACACATGTTTATAGATTTTCACGTACATTATTATAGATTATTGTAAGCAAACAAACACAGTCTTCTGATTGGTGGTCTCTCACTGAACGTTAATCTTTCATCTCTTGTGGCTGTTTCTTGAAGTTCAGATTATCTATCTGCAAATTGTATCCGTCTACGCACAGTCGGCTGTGGTCGGTTGTTGAATCAGTCTTTGTTCTTATTTTTCTCATGACCAATATTGGGGACGTAAACATTGACGTAAATTACTGTCTACCAATTTTGTCCAGCAGCCAGCTCTCACCACACTACTATTGCTACTACTACTTCTTCAGTTACTATTTCGTTGAAGATGAGATCTCATTTCACTTTCAGTCATCACTCATTAAGTCCCTTTTAGCTTGCCATTCCAAGGCTATCCTAGACAACCTCAGCATCAGTAACAGAGTTTGTTTTGTTGGGTGAATACTTGCTCTGTTTACAATGTCGCTTATTAGGCATTTACAGTTATGATTAAAAATTTATTCAATTAGTAATAGTTTAAAATCCTATGGCTAAAATAAAAAAGACACAAAAGAAGCCTATTTTCTGATTAAACTAAGCTAATGCTACTGTAACAACAGAATACAAGGGCCAGGCAACTGATCGTTTATTAAAGAAAATCAACACATGTTTATAGATTTTAATGTACATTATTGTAGATTATTGTCAGTGGAAAATACAGTCTTTTGATTGGTTGTTTCTCACGGAAAGCTAACCTTGCATCTCTTTGTGGCTGTGTCAGATCATCTATATGCTAACTGTATCCGCCTACGCAAAGCCTTGGTTCTCATTTCCTCACCACCAATATTGGGGACATAAACATTGACGTCAATTACTGTCTACCAACTTTGGCTAGCAGCCAGCTCTCACCACACTGCTTTTACTATGGGTTTTGCCTCTTTGCCTTCATCAGTACATGTCGAGTAGGATTCATTTTTGACATCTGTCTATTCAGAACACTTTCAATTCTTGAGTATGGGCAAATTTTCTCAATAGTGCGATCGCATATTATTTTATTTCATAATTATTTGTAGTTTGTTGCGATCATAATCACGGTCACCTTGATAAGATTGTTAGCCGTAAATTGTTCTCGAAACATCATCAATTAATAGTACTTTATCTTTATGTGCTTTTTTATCAAATAAATGTATTCTATAATGTCACTATACTCTGTCCCAGTGCATGATTTCTATTCTTATAGTTGCGATGTTATGTCAATTCACTAACGCCATGTTAGTGGCATATTCCTGATAGCATTATTTTAGAAGATATTATTGACTGTTTGTGTTTCATCTACGGAAGTCTCTGAGGTATCGGTATTTAGGAAGTTTACTATTCAAGAGGAGAACCATCTACCCCAACAGTTATAAGTTAGAAAAAATTATCAAGTATATATAAACATAAAACAGTCTAACAGCCTTTTCTCTTACTAACCTTTCTATTTAGACAAAGTAATAAGAAGACGTAATTTGTCTGAATCGTGTAATGTATTTGCACAACACATTTTGAACAATCTGATTACACACATAGGAATATATATATATATATGAAAATAATAAAGAGTTAAGAGGTGAGCAAATAAATTTAGGTCAAGTTAAAACGACGTACTGAAGGTCAAAATAACAATGAAGATCACCAAACCAAATAACAGAGGTATTAGTACATCTTCCGTGACTGGTATCAAAACAAAGTTTACCAAGAAAGTGTGATGTGGAATTCGTTTTGAACGGAGAAAGGTGGTTTACAGTTTCTTATTGCTAGGGCTTACACAAACACGTTGTATAGATAGGCTTAGAAGACCTGTAATCATCAATTTTATGTTCCACGATGAAGCCCTCACTTGCAGAGATCGATGATTCCTCCCTATGTATATGTGGCTACACGTACATTCAAACTGATAAATAGAGTGGGATGTGACATCACTTTTCGCATGTTCTAAGGGCTTAGATGGATATATCCGCTTCAAATTCTCAATTATTCTTATCTAAGCTGAATAAAAAGTCTTTTTAACAGCAGCTTTCAATCTCTGTCGGGTTACCAGGCTGCTATGATCACCCACATAGGGTAGCTTGATATATACTTCTTTCTTGTCAGCGAGTTGGAGAGTATGTCTTAGTGTACTGACTACATTATGTCATTTAATGAACTTGTATGGATAATTATTATCAACCAGAGTTTGTGTCAACTTTCTTTCTTCCTCATCAAGTGTGTCTTCAGTGCATATTCGTTGGATTCTACTGATTTTTTTTTATCCTTCACGTTCCCCAGTGGAACATAGGGCTTCAAGCTGGTGGCTTGAAGTTTCTGTAGCAGTGTTTATTTTACAGGATGGGGTTGCTAGCCTCATGCCCAACCTTTTCTCTTCACCAGCACTATTTCTGGCTTAGCGAAGTAAAGGAGTGCGTCGGCCGGGGATCAAACCCCGGACCATGTGCATGGTCGGCGAGCGTTCTAACCGCTATGCCACCGAAGAGGCGTCTTACTAAGTGTTTTCTGTACCGAACAGGACAGAAACTGTGATAATTAAGGTACTGTCCTATCCAGGTAGGTTTTCTGTAAATGGATAGTTTGATTGATCCATCAGGCCGTCGACTAGGAAAGATAAACAATTATCTTTCTCTTCTACAGACTTAAGTGATACGCTATTTTAAAATTCATTAATTCGATTTAAAATCGAGTTGGCTGTACAAGGCTTTTCATTTATGATTACAATGTCGTCGACATATCTTCTATAAGGTTTTCTGATAAAATTTTGACAACGAAAAATGACCCCACGCTGAGGAACGATGATTTAGTTGTTATATATATGCTGAGATTTTGTAAATTCTGGTTTAATAATACTTTGATAAAGCTATTAGCAGCACTAAATATCGAAACGTCAGTATAAACAATGTTGTTTTGTTTTTCATTCATTGGGAAGTATATGAAAACCTTTATTATAATGAATATTGGTTTCTACTTTGTTATCAGACATACTATAGGTATGGGTCACTTTACTTTGGTTGGATACTAGGTAAAAAGTAAATATTGTCATGCTTGAAGTCTTTCGTTTAGTACAGAGCAAGTTCTCACAGTCAAGTTTGCAATGTGACCATCATGCTAGGTAACTTGCCATCAAGGTGATCTCTGATGGCTGGGGGGGATCTGAAGGAAGCTGTCCAACTAAGTTTCGTGCTTGTTTACACTCATCTGCAAGGTGTTCAAATCTTACACTTGACTGATGGGATTCACTCTGCACAAGACGAAGGGCTAGACAGATGGCGTCAGTTACTATCCAACGTCCAATCAAAGTATCCATTACAGTCCTGCAAGAGGTCACTCGTGGGCTCGGATTGCTGACTGGTAGCGTCTGTAGAACTGGGTGACATAGGCTTGAATCACAGAAGCGGCTTGAGTCCCCTTCAAGATTCCTGACGAGTGCCAGCAAGCACGAAACCTAGGTTCAAGGCTTCCTGCTGATTACTATCAACCAACAAGTAATAGGTAGCTTTTAAATAAAAAAGCATCTTGTGTATATCCAACGAAATGTTTTACATTCCTTCATAAGTAAACTTATCAGTTGGGGCTATTCATATCTGGCATAACAGCATATATCCTAACATACTTTGATTACCTGACCACTCGTTAACTTCACCTTATTGTCTGCATTACTAGTAAAGTATTAATACACGTTTATTAAGTTTAGCTTATTCATTAGCATAGTTAATTATTTTCACGGTGTTCTACGCATATGATCACTTGAAATATATCACAAGAAATATTTGTTTGTTTTCTAAACGTATATTTCTGTGTGTTTATGCAGTGAACCTGTAATAAAGTCTGGTGTTATTGACTAGTTTTTGGTTTTCAGTCTGTATAGGCTTTTTACATAGTTAGCCAAAATCTATTAGTATTTTTAATGTTTTTGACCTAGTTGTGTTCCCTGAGCTGGATGGTTTACTTGCGAAGCTTTAGCGCATACTTCAATTTGAAGTGAACTTTTAGATTTCTTCACGCGTTTATTAGTCATCTCTCCCCCGGTGACCTTGAACGTGATTGGTTGTTTTTGTGTGTTTTTACACCTTTTAGGCTATTTGTATTGGAACTGATTGTTTCCTTGACTTAAACTTTGACCCTTTGTGTGTGAGATTTCCTTCTTATCGATTGGTATATCTTGTCTATGTCGATGTGTCAATCGACTGACGATTCACTGGAATACCAGGCTTCTAAAAATTCCCTAGCATTCTTGTCGTTTCCTCTGTCTAATATTTGAATGTTGTCCCAGTCGATTTGATGTTCGTGGTTGTCTGTATGTAGTGATATGAGGGAGTAGATGTCATATCTTTTGACGCCTAGTTTATGTTGATGAATACGAAGACGAAGGGGATGTCCACGTTGGCCAATGTAGTGTTTTTTGCAGTTGTTACAATTTATTTTGTAGATGGTGTTGGTTTTATCTTCTTTCGTTGTAGAGTCTTTTGATTGACATAGAGCCAGCTGAGTGAAGTGATTTTGTTGGTTTGTGTGCAACGTCAATTCCTAAATGTTTGAAGAGTATTGTAGTAGTTTCTGAGATGTCGTTTATATATGGTAGGGCGATTTTCTTTGTGCTTTCCTTTGGGGCCTTTGATTTGGTAGGTTGGCTCGGGGGTAGATAACTTCTGATGAAGTTCCGTGGATATCAGTCTTTTTGGAAGACGTCCATGAGATATTTTTCTTCAATTTTCCTTTACGTGAGAGTGCTGCAGTGAGTCCTGGTCCTCTTGAATAGTGTTTGTATGCGATTCCTTTTGTGTGTTATTGGATTGTTGCTATGGTAATTCAGTATTTGATCTGTGTGAGTTGATTTCCCATAAACTTGAGTTTCTAATTTTCCTATTATTGTTCACTGGACTAAGACGTCCAAAATGGGATTTTTTTCTCAGATTCCTCTTCGCCTCTGAATTTGATGTCGTTGAAGATGTTGTTAATTAAGTTGTGAGTTTTGTCCAACTCGTTTCTTTTGATTATTTCGAATATGTCATCTACATAATGTATCCAAACTTTGGGTTTGATCTTTGGTAGGATTATGTTTTCCAGTCTTTGGACCACACCTTCTGCAACCATACCTGATATTGGTGATCCCATGAGTGTTCCTATAATTTGTTCATAAATTTGACCATTGAATTGAAAGTACGTTGTTAGGCATAAGTTTATATATTCCATCCAAGTTTTGCGTTGCATTTTTGATTGTTGTGGGAGGTGTTCGTCGTTGCTGAGTAATTACTCCATGGTCTCTTTTGCTAGTTTCTCTCCAACTGAGGTATATAAAGTTGTGACTTTGAAGGATACCATTGTTTCTTGGACATCTACTTGAATGCCTCTGATTTTCTGTAGAAATTGGATTGCAGATTTGATGGAATGATCGCAGGAAACCGTTAAGTGTTTCAAACTTCAGTATAATTATTTGGATAAATTGTATGTTGGAGTTCCTGGGAGTGATACATTTGGTCGTAACGGGATATTTGGCTTGTGTATTTTGGGTCTGCCATAGAATCTGGGTAGGACTGGTCCATTGGATTCCATTCGCCATTGTTTTTAATGTTTACGCCCGAGTATCCGGTTTTGTGTGTATATCAGGATAAGATCCACACTAATGGTGTAAAGGCTGGGGACACTACTCAGTTACCCAGGTTGAAGTAGGCGGAGTGAGACTCGAGTTCGTGACACATCAGCTACTGGTAGATGTCTTGCAGTTACTTAATTTCTCATTGTACTCTTCATCAACACACAATTTAACTAATTTCAAAAATGGGTCAATGGAACATAGATTGTTGTCAAGACAGAATTGTAATAATTCATATATTTTGAGTACTTTTTTGAGGGGATATTATTATTTTTGCTTATAGTCATTAAATATAGATAACTTTCAAGAGTTAGTGTGTAGGGATTTGATTTGTTTCAGGTTCGACCACGGACTGATATCAGTTGGAGAATCACTGAAAACCAGAGGATACTTTTGGACTCATCGATAGTACGCACCCACTGGGGTTTGAACACAGGATCTTCCAGTTACCAGAGAAGCTCAAATACCATTCAGCCACTGGGGCGCGACTCAGTAGCCTATGAATTCTAACCTCTATCGATTCATGACTTGTTGGTGGTCCTGTGTTCCAATCCCAGTGGGTGCATACTACTGTTGAGTTCCAAAGTAGGACGAAACAGCTATCCAGTACTCTCCGGTTTTCAGTGATTCTCTTACTGATATCAGTCAAACTTGAAACAACAGATAACTTCCATAAAAATAAATTATTATTATTGTTTCCTTTAATTCCTGGAGGAACATAGGGCTTCAGCCGTGCGTCACCTGGCTCCAAGTCTGCCCACACGTTTTCATCTCCTCTTCACATGACCTCCTCCAAGTCACCCTTACACTGACGACCAACTCGCCGCTTCCCTTTCGGGTTCCTCTCGAGCGATGGCTTGTCTAGTGATGTCACTTGATGGTTTGTTTCCTCAGAGTATGGCCAATCCATTTCCATTTCCTCCTGCCTATTTGTTTCACAATCGGTTCCTTGTTGGTTCGCTCCCAGAGATCTCTGTTGCTGATCTTTTCTGGCGATCTGATCTTGAGTATTGATCGAAGACAGCTGTTAATGAAGGTCTGTAGTTTGTTTGAGGTGCTCTTTATGACGCGCAGTACAAGTCTCTAATCCGTATAGTAGCACTGACTGACTTCACATTGGAGTTGAAAATCCGGATCTTATTTTTCATTCTGAGGAGTGCTGTTGACCTCCACACAGACTTGAGAGAAATGAAAGCTTGTCTTGCTTTCCTGATCCTCGCTTTGATATCCTCATCAGTTCCGTCTGCCTGTAGATGGAACGATGCTTCCCAGGTAGTTAGGTAAAGGAGGTTGATTCTTTCATAATTCTCCCATTTATGCTGATTGTTGCCTGTTGTTGTTGTTCTTGTCCAGGAATCTTCATCACCTCTGTTTTCTCTATGTTCACCTGAAGTCGTATCTTTGATGCTTCTTCTGCCAACTTGTTGCTTTTCGCTTGCAAATCTTCCAGTTTGTGGGAAATCAGACAAAAATCATCAGCGAAGTCTAGATCCTCCAAGTTTTTGTGTGGGTTCATTTTATCCCTGTTTCCCCATTGCCCGCTGTTTGTCGCATTATACAGTTATTAATTGTACTTTATAGGTGTTTTTCCCCTAATAATTCATTGTAATGTCCTTTTATTTTTCATAATGCATATTTCTAATTGTATGATTTTATACATTTTTAGGATATTGTTTTAGCTTTACTGAAAGATGCTATGATTAAATTGGTTGATAAGAATTGCTACTTCCTTATTGACGGTTATCCACGTGAATTGGTTCAAGGCAGTCGATTTGAAAAAGAGGTAAGTTCAACAGGTGTATAAATAATGATAATACTGTTAAACCACTATTCAAGTATTTGTTTATTTCTACACCTGACCTTAACAAGGTAAACAAACATTGTACGATTGAGAGGGATAGAATCTGATGAGAAACACCTGTGAAGTTTCAGTCTAGTTTCCCTTTTTTCAGAACTAAATATTTATTTGAAAGTAACATTATGTTGTCCTGTGGAGCTATGGTTGTTTAGGCGCTTGACTTCCAAACATTGAGCCATGGGTTCGAACCTTGCTCCACGTAACAATGTGTTGGCAGCCAAGTAGTATCACTAGCTCCCACACTGCAGGTGTGTAGCTCATTTCTAACTGCATGAAACTGCAAGTGATTGTTGAGTTCCATTCTTTTTATACTTCTGTAATCACTGGTGAGTCGTAAAGTAATGGTATACATTTTTCAAGAGTGCAATCAATATTCTATGAACTTAGATTTGAAGATGTTGTCTAGAAAGACACTGAAAGCTTTGTAAATAAACAATGCAACTCAGAGAACTGAATAACTCTGGGAAAGCATCCAAGCCAACCAGGAATCTGGTACAAATCTTCGAGAATATCCATTACCGACACTTATGAACTGTAGTTTGAGGTGATGTAATTCAATATAAGATTTAACTGACCAACATTAAGCTATTGTGGTGAGACAGTTGAATCGTCCAGAATGCCTGCATTCCGTTTCTTCTTCAGACACACAGTACTCATATAACTTAACGTATTATAATTATCTTTTTCCTTAAATAATTAGTATTTGTAATGAAAGTAATATTATCAGTAGTCGTTAAACTGTTTGATATTCTTTAGATAAGGAATTCTTTAAGAAGGTTTTATCGATTAAAGAGAAAAACTAACGAGAACTTTCATGTGATAATTAAAGTATTGATTATCTACATTCGTCTTGTAAACCGATTTTCACAAGAGAAAGAAACAGTAAATCGGATTATTTATAAAGCCTAAATTATTTAAGTGATAAGTTTGTTGGTAAATCTTACAAAATAAATTGGGTAATTAGAGTAAATTACCCAACAGATTGACTTGTTTTGTAATAACAAAACTTTTAAGGACTTGTATAACAATAATTAACAGTTAATAAGGATTAGTATTAGTCAAAGAGCCGATGAAATCCAGGGAATACTGGAAAGAACTATTTCATCCCAGTTAGAGACTCTTCAGCAACATGTACTCCTCACGACTTGTCATTAGAACTCTGAGCAACTTTGTCCTGTAGATTTAGTCATTGGTAAGCACTATGTTGAGTGTGAGGAAAAAACATACTCTTTGATGATATTGGTTGGCGTTGGGCTTTAGGTTCTATCCTATTTTCTGGACAGTCAGTAAGGTCACCTTGTAACCTACAGGTCCTGGGTTCGACCTCTGGTGGAGTCATCGCTGAGGAGTCTGCAGCTAGTACGAAACAAGTGTCCAGTACTCTTTGGTTCTCAGAAATTCTCTAATTGAAGTCAGTTCATCACCAAACTTGAAACCAATCAAATGTCGACAAAATAACAACTGAAAGGAAGGATTTATTTATAACTGCTACCCTCAGATTGTGTTTTAAACGCCTACTTGAATATTTTATCACATGCGTTGCGTTTATTTTATGAATTCAAAAGAAAAAAATGAAACGAGTTTTATTTATAGTTTTGTATCAACATTCATCTCAAATTGTATACATAGATCTTATCAGTGTAATTGCATGCATATTTAGGTTATTTTTATCATATTTTCTATATTAATTACCTTGAGATTTATAAAATGAGCCGTTTTTTCTAAATTGTCATTACTAAGGCAACCAAATTTATGGATCAGATAAAATTTTAATTTTATTCTATTTGATTATAAATAGCTAAGGTGTCTGCCTCTCTTTTTAAAAATATTCTTTGTTCATCAGCAGAGATAGTTTCATTTTTCACTATAAGGCAGATTTTTATACGAAGGTAGATAGAAATACGCATGAAAAAGAGATCAGATCTAGTTGTTTATATTTCATCTTTATTCATTCTTTTTATATATTTATTTTTAGTTGATAACTGAAAGTATCTGAAATTGCCTTATTTGCTTTTATAAAACTCCCCGTTTTAATATCGCGTTAACAAATCTACAGATATTAGCTGTTAGACATCTGTCACGGAACAACATCCTTTAGAGAGATCACTGGAAACCAGGAAACAACTGACAGTCGTTGCGTCTTATTCCTTGGGACTCTTCAAAAGTGCACACTCAAAACCCTATCAGGGATCGAACCCGAACCAATGTCAAGGTGAAGTGGTTTCTTATCGAAGTCACTGGTGAAAGCAGAGCTATATCACGAGTTAAAAAGTTAGGAATCATGGATTATTCAGTTTCAACCCAAGTGGCTGAATTGATCCTGTAACCTGAAGGTCCTGAGCTCAGTCTGTGGTAGATTTGTGGGTTCGCACTGACGAGAAGTCCTCAAATATGACGAAACAACTGTCCAGTGTGCCCCGTCTTTCACTGATTCCTCTAGCCGATGCCAGTTCGTGATGAAAATCTAAAAGTTGAAATTTATCCAGAATTCCCACAAATCCTATGATCTCAAAATCTACAGATAAATGAAATCACGTCCAGCAGAAGATATTAAATTCAGTCGACAAAAAAGTTTGCGATTCGCTTTATGGTGAGTGTTGATTAGAGCTCAGCAGCAATTAGTATTCATAGTGCAGATCAAAATTATGTTTTCTTTGGAATTCAAACACGGAGAAAACAATATTGATATCACAGGCTTCGTCATTGGGATGTTTGTGTTTAGCATTTCTATGTTCACTTATTTTCGAAGATAATTCTTTTAATGGGACCCAGAACGTATTTCGCGAACAAACTCATACATTTGCTTCTAACCATCGTGGGGTTATTTTTAGTTCACTGCCTGCTTTCTCCTTTTATTTTACTGTATAACCATCTAAGATCTCTGCAATACTACCTTCAGTAATTTATTCTTTCTGTTATTACCCTTCAAATTGGCATACTTATGCGAATTTCAGCGAGACTATATTGATTTGTGTTGATATTTATTACCCGTTCCTTTTGTTTTTTAAAGGGAAGGCATATACTGCTACGAATTATATACCATTTAGTACTAGCCAGCTTTGAGGAATATCTAGCTTTTTCAGAGTTCAGATAAAATAAAGGCTTCACACAAATGAATTATCATGTTCGACCTCAAACTGATATTAGTTCGAGAACCACTGCATACAAGGGAGTACTGGAGAGCTGCTTCGTCCTAGTTTGGGACCCGAACTGCGAGTTGAAAGATATTAGAATTCATGAGCCACTGAATTAGGTCCTAGGTTCTATGCCTGATGGGGTCGTGCGCAGCCTGCTGTTGAAGAATCCCAAACTTGTACGAAACAGCTTTCCAATTTTCCTTAGTCTTCAGTTGTTCTCTGTCAGATATTGATCCATGATTAAAACTAAAAACAATCAAATCCCTACAAATTTACACTTAAAAGCAAAATGAAGTACAAATTATTTTAAGTGCATATTTCAATCCAAAAGTGAGATTTAAAAAAAAGTGTTTTTCATATTTCACACAATAACGATTTATAGGAATCTAATTTCTTTTGTGTAAGAAAAATTGTATCACTCTATTCTACTCTACTACGCTACATGTGACTGAAAGAATGGACTAATCTGCAAATATTCAACTGCCTTATGATTCAAAAGTATTAAGAAAAATATTATCACATTAAAGACCTTTTCAAAAAGCTTTAAAGTGTACTTAGATCATAAATTTTGCGGAAATCTGAGATAAGATGGTACATTGTATGGAATACAAATCCAAAATAATCATTATCTATATGCTCGAATAAGTAGGATGAGTGATTATGCAATGCAAATAGAGATTTTAAACTTAGTAATGCGGAAAATATACGGAAAGTTCAGATGGAAAACATCATTGGATAATAATTATTGAGAAGAATGACTGTTTTCTGATGGCCACATTAAAGACAAAGTTTGGACATACTCCTTTAGGAATTTTTGGATCACTAATGCCTCAGTTATGCCCTGATGTCCTGATCTCACTCCTCTTAATAGGTTTGAATGAATCTTGCACGCAACTTTGAAGAGTTTCTAAAACGGGACAGTGTCATGAGTCCCAGAGGTTACCAGACTATAAACACACTTACGTTCTGAGTTTGCTAGCAAGGGTGGGCAGTGTTCTGAGTGCGTTTTACAAGTAGACGCATAGTACACTGTCAATGTACTCAGCTGTACAGTAGCAAGTGAGTCGACCCAATCAATCTAACAAATTATGACGAGACAGTTATCCATTGCTTTATCGGTTTCAGCGTTATTCTTTCTACGATTCTTAAATATTAAAACAATCACATGTTCTTAGTTCTATTCTACTTTCTCTGCGTACATATATATCTTTGTTAAGTTAATCATAGAAAATTAAGCAGTCAAGTTATAACAAGTAGATAAAGTAGCAAATTATGCATTCGGCTGTTCGATTTCAAGATCAATTAAATCTAGCTAGGTGTGTCATAAAATGAAAGCTTGCATAGTTATGCTTTTTGTCACATTACCATCTCTGACATCATTCTGTATTAGGCTACAGAGAATGAGTTTTATAAAAAATTAATTTAATGAAGGTATACTGCATTTTGAGTTCTGTCATTTAGTATTTTGAGAAACAAAAACGAATATTCTTGATAAGTGACAAGGTTTTAAGATAGTGTTACCACAATTTCACAGGATCTCCGTATCAGTGGCGTACCCCAAATATTCATCAACCTTATTCAACATCTGTACGACAACGGCACATGTCAAGTGATCCACAACGGGAAACTCATCGAGGCGTTTGGAGTAAACACAGGAGTCAGACAAGGGTGCTTATTATCACCAATGATATTCCTAATTGTGGTGGACTGTATTTTGCGTCAGACAGTGGGAGACGAGAGGACAGGGATATCCTGGACCGACGTGAAGAACCTAGAAGACCTGGATTTCGCAGATGATTTATGTTTGATGTCACACAAAATCGAAGATTTACAAGCAAAAACCGACAAACTGGTCGAAGAAGCAGCCAGAGAAGACAGGACTCCAGGTGAACATAGACAAGACGGAGGTTATGAAAATAACCAACCAACAACAACAACAGGAGCATCAACATCCAGCGCCAATCACCATCAACGGGAGGGATTTGAAAGAGGTTACTTCATTCACTTATCTAGGGAGCATTGTCTCAAACACAGAAGGAACGGACGAGGATGTCAAATCGAGAACCGCGAAGGCGAGAAACACATTCATCAACCTGAAACCAATCTGGAAATCTTCGTCACTCACTCAGCATCAACAACAAAATTCGCATTTTCAATACAAACGTCAAGTCAGTCAGTTCTTCTATACGGATCAGGAACTTGGCGGGTCACAAAGAATATTTCCAACAGGTTCCAGACCTTTATCAACAACTGTCTTCGCTCTATACTCAAGATCAGATGGCCGGAAAGAATCACCAACAAGAGGCTATGGGAACAAACAAAACAAGAACTAATCGCTCAACAAATATGCAGGAGAAAGTGGAGACAGATTGGGCACTCGCTGAGGAGGCCGCTGGGTGACATCGCACGTCAGGTCCTTGAGTGGAACCCGAAAGGGAAGCGGCGAGTGGGACGTCCAAGGGTGACAGGGATGAGATAGTGTGAAGAGGAATTGAAACAGTATGGACTAACATGGATGCAGGTGAAAAGTACAGCAGAAGACAGAAGCAAGTGGAGACGTGCAGTTGAAGCCCTATGTTCCACTGGGAACCCAAGGGAACAATAATAATAAATAATAATCAGTAGCAATGGCTGTTTAGTGTTTTCATTTAGTAAAACTTTCAGTAAACTGGGATTATGGAGTAAATTATTTTATTCTGTATCTAATATTGACTAAAACGTGAGTGAAAATCAGACAGTTGTTAACCGACTGTGTATCCGAAGCTTTAAAGCATTGTTATGCATTTTCATGCATCTAACGATATAGATAAAGCGAATATTAGCAGTGCTATTAAATACTTTGAAAACATTTCTCGTTTAATCATGAGTTAACATCATATAGTAAAACTAGGAAGTACTGGACAGCTGTTTCCCTTTAGTTTCCGACTCCTAGGCGGTACGCATCCACAGGGGTTGGAACCCAAAATATTTTGGCTAGATGGCAAGCTTGTAGACTATTTAGCTACTGGGACCCAATCCAATGGCCTATGTATTCCAGATTCTATCAACTCTCAGAATATGTGTAGCGCAGCCCACAGTCAATGTCATAGGCGAGTCGCTGCTCTCTTACTTGACTTGGTGAACCCTACTGGTCACGATCTGTGGTGCACATATACTGATTAAGAGTCCCGACCTTGGAAAAGATAGCTGTCCAGTACTCTTGATGTCAGCTCATAGTGTTACCTGTAACATATCATGTATCTGCACCCTAATACTTGAAAATCTTGCGTGTTTGATTGTTATCCTGTGATTATCGGTTAGATGTAAACAGTCGATTTGGTTATTACTCGACAGTGTACTTTTGTATCATCCGACCTTGCTGAGAGTCACTAAGAACATTGATAATTGTGTTATAATAAGTTTCAAATATCAGACAAACCACAATATTTTTTTCTTGCTGCATGTAAATCATTCCTTCACTGTCATTGATTCTTGACACCTGACTCTTTAAAGGAAGTCTAAATACTTTGTTCTCATACTGTCTATCTGTCTGCCTGATTTCAATATAGAACCTTGCACCGGTGTGCAGCAGTTCGAGTTGCCACACTTCACTCATCACTCAAACCCAGAGAAAAAGGTAAAATGAAACGCAAAATAGAGACAGTAAACAGAGGTATGAGGCAAAAATAATAGTAATATCGAAGAACAATATAGTTTTATTGAGTATTATAAGTCACAAGGAGCGGGTGCATCTGTGCCAGCCGTTGAGAACCATTTTGAGTCATATCACCAATTGTCTCCAGCCTTCATTGGTGTTTACCGTCCCGAGGACCCCAACCAGGAAGTGTACACCTACCTACGTGATCAGCTTAAACTAACTGTTGTGGATTTCATTGACTGATGAGGCTGTGTTATAGTTTGACCACCACTGGCTCTTTTCTAACCTGACCCTATGCCAGCTAACATTGCTCGTCGAGAAAGGCAATGGCAGCATGGTAGAGTGGATATCAAAAGTTCTAAACTGACTAACACTATATATTTGGTTCAGGATACTTGTGTTTATTGGCAAAATAATCCAGCAATGCGTAACAAAGATGGGCATTGCTCAACACTTCTCAGTAATACAGATTCATATAGCTTGGTTACTGCTCCAACTGATTTGTCTATGTTATCTAATAAGCTACGAATAATCTCACTTTTATATGGTTTTTGGTTCTATGGTTCTCAAATAAGGGAGAAGATTGTTAGCTTAGATGAATGTTTCTTGGTTCAGAGAATTGTTGCTGATGCTTGTATTAAAAATTCCCTTTCACTACTGCAGACAATAATTTCAACCTGTTATATCCAGTGGTCATCAATGAGGGGAATATTTCAGTTATGAAGCCTCTTACAAGTATTTTACCTGATTTCCAAACTACTTATCGAAAGTTGTTCCGTATAATGGAAACCATTAATTGATTAGAAACGCATATCATTGAAGTTTCTTGTTACCTGTGTAACATAGATTAGAATTTATACAAAACACTTAAGTCGATACAAAGCTTCACTTGTGTGTGTTAGTCAAAAATATTATTACTTGACTTTGTTGTAATTTTACTTACAATACGCTCATATTTGATTAGTTAGTTGATCTATGTCTTGTCTTATCCTAATCATATTCAATGAAATTTTATTATCGCACATCGGTGGTTCCGTGGTAGACTACTCACCAACCACGATAGTGATCCAGAGTTCGGTCCCAGGCCGATGCATTCTTTAGCCTCGCTCGGCCGGTAGTTAGGCAGGTAACGAGGTTAGGTTGGGTGTGAAGCTGGCAACCTAACGCCACAAAAGATAAGCACTACTGCTGTAACGACAGAAGACAAGGGCCAGGCAACATATAGTTTGTTGAGGAAATCAAGAGATATTTATATATTTTTATGTACATTATTATTCGTTATTATTAGCAGAGAAACAGCGTCTTCTGATTGGTCGTTTTCTCGCTGAAAGTTAATCTGTCATCTCTTTGTGGCCGTTTCTTTGAAGGTCAGACCATATATCTGCGAATCGTATCCACCCACGCAAAGTCTTTGTTCTTGTTTTTCTCATGACTAAGATTTGTGAAGTAAACATTGACGTAAATTGCTGTCTACCGATTTTGGCTAGTAGACAGCTCTCACCACACTGCTACTGAAACATCAAAGCACAAGCTTGAAGTCCCATGTTCCGCTTTGAACACAAAGGATTAAAATTTAAAAAAAGATAATAATAAAATTTTCATAAAAGTATAAATTCTTTAGTAGACGTTGTGATATTTCAAAAGAAAAACGCTAATAATTACACTGTGTTGGCCATTACATTCCGCTTTTGGAATACAAATTTTCAAGCATAACTTAATTCGTTAGTACTGTTTTATTGTTCTTCTTGAATCCTTTCTTTCTCTATCTCTGTCTCTATGGTAATGCTTCTAGATAACCCCTTGCTTATGCGTCATTAATTTTGATGTAAGCGAAGATGTAATGCGACAACGTCTATTGAAACGTGGAGAAACAAGTGGACGTGCTGATGATAATGAAGAAACAATCTTAAAACGTTTTCATACTTTCAATCAATTGACCAAACCTGTTATTGATCATTATAAGAAACAGAATAAAGTGATTACTGTAAGTGTGTAAAGTGTATTTATTTCGTTATTGAAGATATTATTGTGATTTTGTTCATTTGTTGATGAATTTTCTTTTGATGTAACCGGTGGTGATTGAAACTGAAGGGAAGAGATTAATCGTGATGCAATTAAAACCAGTGGTCTCTAAACTACTAGTCCTGCACTCTACTAGCTGTAGTACGAGACTGTTATGATGTCACCATGTTTATATTTCTCAGTAACGTTGAAGTTGAAGTGGAGTTGCTGAGTTCGACAAATACGTGCAGATCACGAATATCGCTTGGCTACCCAAACAAGATTGTATGACAGCCCGCTTTACTTAAGTGAGAACACACAATGACGTGAGCCAAAAAGTATATTTCACTATCAGCCACTGTCTATTTTACACAATAATATATATGATTCGAAAAAAATCACCAATCAGGTGTCAATTAGTCCATAATCATGATCAACAAAATAGTGGGCGTTGTTTTATTTAGGCCAATTTTGATTGGTTTATTTCCAGAATGGCCTTAAGGTACCATGTCATCAATAAAGGATAGTCCATTGTTTATCTGTTTATATATCAAACAACAGCCAACACAGAGCACTAGTTGTTTGAGGCAAATTCCTCTGTGTTCAAAAGAAGCAAGTCTAGCCTACTACTGACTATAAATTCATGAATTTGTAATATTATCTTTCCTAATTTTTCTGACAATCAGCTTATTTTTATGTTGATGCTATTGAGCTGTAATCTATCAATATTATTGATCTGATGTTATTTAAACATTAGTGTTGTTCATGCGTCGGTGGCATAGTGGTTAGGACGCTCGCCGACCGTGCACATGGTCCGGGATTGGATCCCCGGCCGACGCACTCCTTTACCTCGCTAAGCCAGAAATAATGCTGGTGACGAGGAAAGGTTGGGCATGAGGCTAGCAACCCCATCCTGTAAAATAAACACTGATACAGAAACTTCAAGCCACTAGCTTGAAGCCCTATGTTCCACTGGGGAACGTAAAGGGAAAAAATAACACTAATTCATTCATTCACTATAATGTATATATAACTGTAGAGCCTGATGATGAAGTTATCGATAAGAGTATTCTTTGTTCCATGTCCATTCTATGGAAAATCATTAATCACTTTCGCAATTTGCAAATAAGTCTGTAATTTACACGGGGTTGAGGCAAGGTGTCGCCAAGATTTTGTTCGTTAACCGAAATTATTCAGATCACAGTATGTGATCTATTTAACACCATAAATAGTAATCAAGGAACTAAGAATAAACACGTGTCGACATATACTACTGATCGATTGAGATGAGTAGATTATAGCATCATTCAATTATGTTTGCCTACCTGGTAATCACAGATTGTGATCTAAATAATTTTAGTTATCAAAGGAAACTGCGGTGAAATTTCACCCCTCCTTGAAATGTGTAATTTTGCAAATTTCATTCTGTGTATTATCAGTTCACCAATATCACTCGCAAGAATTCAAGGGGTTGTCTGACCCGATTCACATCGGGTATGTCGCTGATAAGCCCGGCCCCAAATGAGTGAAATGGTTGTCTGCTGTTTAGATCGCTTCAACTTAGCTAGCAAGCACTATGGCTTGGTAGTACAATGGTAATGGAGCTTTATTTCAGATAATATATTAACACAGTACAGAAGTTCACAACGTATTTAGTTAGAAAATGTTTCCTCTGCATATAGAATGGACATTTAAAGTAATAATCTAAAGTATATCGTGTGATGTAGTGATGTTGCATATAAAGAGATTACCACTTCTACAAGTTTTTTCTTCATTTTTTTCGAAAATTGCACAGCACTAAGTTGGAAGCTAATTAAATAAGCGCGCGAGTTCATGTGGTGATCATTTGATATAATTGCATCATTTAAACAATAAGAAATGCATAAGAGTTTAAGCATTTAGTTGGTAGTCCGGTAATTTAAGCAGCAGTTTAGCTGTTCCTCATACTGAAAAGCCTAAATCTATAGACAGACTGCATAGCTAAGTCCAGTGTACATTGTTAAAATCCTAACTGATACAAGACACTTAGTGAGTTCCTGTCTACAATGTTTTACTTTGTGTTAGGCAAAAATGTCTTTTAATGCTAGTCGGTCATACGTATATCACTATGAATTAGTGCGTCGGTGGCACAGTGGTTAGGACTCTCGCCTACCATGCACGTAGTCCGGGGTTCGATCCCCTGCCAACGCACACCTGATATCTATGATCGGCCTGCAAAATTTGGGCTACCGATATCATGTGCTGAAAATTCCATACATGTACCAAAAAATGTGGTGTGGAATCAAGCTGTAATCAAAAAAATAATAAAGCTGAGTCAACGAATGAACAGTGTTGAAATATAGTTTAACGTAGTAAAATTTAATAATCCAACGAATCTTTACTTGTACAATTAAATGTTGGTCACACCGAATCACTTTAGATAAATACACAACATAATAAGCGGACACACACAGATAAAACCATGGGAGGTAATCATAAAAATTAAAAGTCTATCATTTTAACGATCTCTGCACTGATCCCAATGAAATTCTATTTTCGTTTTCCCCCTACGGATGGATGATGTGAGCTTGTTCAACTCCTTTCGCGAGTCAGCCTTGTGCCTTGATGGCCCAGGGAAGTTAGAAAGAAGAGAACACGAAGTTCAGCATAGATATCCTTTGGGCGATTTCATTTTCAAAAGCTGTACAATCGCATTTAAATACATAATTTTATATAGATACAATTTTTACTTGATTCCACATAATTACGAAGGTGAATAAAATGTGACAATTATTTTCAACTAGATATGGTTGACGAGAGGCTTAGAAACGAAATTACACAGGATTAGAACGAATTACAAGTATGTAAAATAAATGAGCACAGAAACAAATTGAAATAATAATTTTCAACTTGAGATGGGAGTTAGGAGGCGTGAATACGGATTACAAGATCTTTAGAAACAAAAATTACACAGGATTAAGATATAATTGTAAGATAGTTATTTTATACGAATTATAAATGTGAGCAGGAAAAGCATGGAAACAAACTTAAAATAACTCTTCCTATAATTGAAAAAATGGGATGAATTGAATGAAGACAGAGAGAATAAGAATCACATACAGCGAACGAAAAAAAGGAAGCTAAAAGAACATACCGAACTAGGTCCATGGTAGTTGTAGACGTTGGACTTATTATATCTTTTGAATACACAGCTCTGGCTTTTCGATGCATATTGTGAAGGCTTCTGCAGTACAGAGAAGTCGAAAACATACTGATTTTGGTAGATTTGTGTTGACTTTGTAAATTACTTCGAATGAATCAGTTGAGATGTTGTGGGAGGTGTTTATCAGATGTTCAGTAATGGCACTTCTGATTGACCCGATGCCTCCTCTTTACAACCACGCTGGATAATGTTCTCTAACACGTTTTGAAAGGACGCGCATACAACGACCTATGTAATTAGCTCCACACGAGCAGGTTAACTGGTATATGCACATTGAATTGGTCATATGTGAGAGTTTGTCCTTCGCGTTGTTTCGAAGTATTGAGCGGCTAGAGAACGTCACTCTTAGTGTTGCTGCAGGGAAAGTCTTCTTCAAGCAGCTGGATATTCTCCTTTTTAGGATTTCAACTGTCAAGTCTCCCCTGAAATTCAGATTCATATATAGCGTTTCCTTCGGTGCTGAATCGCATGGCGTTCGATCATCCGCCGATGCATTCCCAAACCTTGCTTAACCTGTAGCAAACCCGTTAAACAATGAGAGTTAGGCGTGAGACAAGCAACCCTGCAGCGTAAAAATAGAACTACTGTTACTGAGACGTCAAAGCTCAAACTTTAGACCCTATTTTCCACTCAAAACACAATGGGATAAAATCAAATAATAATTTCAAGTAATGAAATTATGTAACAAGACCTTGAATTATATAATCATTTTCACATAAACTGAAGTATTTGATGTATTTCATTGGATGAAAAGTCAAAGAAAGGTGCTATCTTTCTAATGGTAAAGAAAATATATATAAACGAAAATATTTTTGAAATGTTAATTTAGACTTCTTTCTTCTCATTACAGATTGATGCATCTGGTACAGTTGAAAAGATCTTTGAAAATGTTATTCGTGAACTTCAAAAATTCGGTGTCAAATAGAATCATTCGCCTGTTATTTTCTCCATTAGATAACTCATTCATCATTATATCCTTCATTGATTATCACAGCTAAATATCTTCAGATAATAGTGTTATTGTTATTTTTTATTTATTTATTTATTATAATATAATAATATTACCTATATTAGTCTGTATTTTAACCCCAGCATCAGAAACACACCATTATCACTTATACAATTCATCTTTCTTTGTCAACTGCGTTAAACAGAGTGTATTCGATTTTCTTGTGTTTATCGCATCCCATCCTATCCTATCCTATCGTATCCAATTATATGTTTACCTATAACTGTTTTCTGCACTCCACGTGTGTATTTGTAATTACCAGTATTATTTTATCTTTATATATTCAAGTGCCTGTATACGAGTTAATATTATTATTATTTTATTTAGGTGTTTCAAAGTTATTTATAGTTTTTACAATACCTTAACCACCTAAACCCCAATTAGCACACTCTATGTAATAAAGTGTTTTCTTTTAAGATTGTGGGTTTATTAATTGATTCATAAATTCTATTGGTTTTAGGAATGCCTTTCGAAAGGATGAAGCAGCAATGGTTGTATATACGGCTAATAATAGATGGTGTTTCATTGAAGAATTTGAAGCTAGCTAACGTGCACCTCCTATTTTACATAGATGTTGTCATTACTGTTAGTTATCGATTAAGTTTGTCTGTAAATTCATCAAAAGTTGTACACTTTGCTTGTTTTGCTAAGTATTTTGGAAAATGTTCAATTATTGGTTTTGTAGGGATTTTGTTTGATTGGTTAGTGGATTTTATCATGAGCTGACATCAGTTAAAAGACAGTTGGTAAACCTGAGAGTACTGGACAGCTGTTTCGTTCTAGTTTGGGACTCTTCATCAGTTCGCACCGGTTTCGAACCCAGGTGGGCATAATTTAGGATTCAAGAGCCATTCGTTCGGGTCCCAGTAGCCTAATTGTCTGCGAGCTTGCTAGCTTTTCAACCGGAAAGTCCTGGGTTCAAACCCAGGTGGGTTCGTGTTGCTAAAGTGTCTCAAACTGGGGCGAAACAACTGTCCAGTATTTCCAGGTTTTCCAGTGGTTCTCTAACTGATGTCAGATCATGATAAAATTCTTCAGTGGATTTTAGAAAATGGTTGAAATATCTTATTGTGGACTGTTCGTTAGAAATTATTTAAAGTTTTCTGCTGATTGGCTTTCAACGCTTACCAAGCTGTGTTACCATTTTACGTTGTTTTGTTCAGAAGTCATATTACAGAAGTGATTGATGCGCTTGCCTCAAAACTGTTACAGATTTATATATATATGTTTACTGCTTGTTTTGGAGTCCTTACGTGCACAATATAACGCTGCAAGGTTTAACTTTGACTTATATATATATATATATATATATATATATATAATTTTTAAGTATTGGTTTTAGGGATTTGACTGATTGGTTACGGGATTCTATCATGAGTTGACATCGGCTTGAGAATCATTGGAAAACCAGCAGGGAGTAATGGACAGCTGTTTCGTACTATTTTGGGACTCCTCATCAGTACACACCCACCACAGAGTTTCAAACCCAGGACCTTCTGGTTACAAAGCTAGCGAGCTCGTAGACCATTAAGCCACTGGGACCCGATCCAATGGCCAGTCCATGAATTCTAACTTCTGCCAATTCACGACATAGCGCCACCACTAGCCTATGTTTTCGGCGAGTATTCATCCTCATGTATTACCTAATGACCAATCAGTTTATTAAGGTAGAACATTTAATAAACAAAATAATGAAGCATTAAACTTCAAGTCACAGTTAATAAATAACGATAAACAAATCAATATAAGGACCGGGAGAGCTGTGTTCAGTTCTATAAATCTGTTTACCTTCAATTACATGTATAAATAAGTATACATCGCATTATAACAGTAACGTGCATAGTGTAAATTCAAGTAATACAATAAACATATATTCTCATGAATTATAAATAACAGAATCAAGTAATTGAATATAAACATTTAAAATGTTTCTGAACATAAATCAGCATAATGTTGACTGAATCATATATTTTGCGCTGTTTTGACTGACTTTTCGATGTTTAAATGTATATAAATTGTAATTTATGTTAGCTGAAACACGTCAAATTTTGTAGTTTGGATGGCTATTGAAGTGAACTTTAGTCGTAAGATAATTCATTAGGTGTTCACTTAATCTGTATAGTTTCTTTCGTGCACAAGGTTAATGTACAGTTCCATAGGAGTTAAAGGAAGAGAGATAGAGAAAGAATCAGTGTATGAACATTTGAAGAAATAAAAATCAATTTATCTACGATCTGTTGTCATTTGACGTAAAGCATTTTTAGTAATGTCTATCTGACTGATTTTTAAGAAAATGAATGATTACCAGATTTCTCACTGTAAAATGAACCTCAGATGCAGAAAGTTTGTTAAACCAGGCTATGTTAATATCGAATTTAATAGTCACTTAATACTGCTCGTCCACATTCGCAGCACAGTCTATGCGACTTTGTTTTAAAAGGTGCCATCGAGGAAACAATGTATGTGTACAAACTTGTACACTGTGGCTGGATGTAATTCTACATTCTTATGTTTAAAACAAGCAACAAAGGTTAGTAATTATCAAGCTGTACAGTCGTATATATATGGCTTTATTTTTAGAAATTATATCCGGTAAGGGAATTGAATCATAGGTGTAAATACATGAAATAATAATTGTAGTATGAAATGCCATTAAAATATTTGTGATTACAATCGTAGTTAAATGTCAAGTGGCAAAACAATTAATGTCATATATAGAATAATCCATAGGATGTATAGAACTCGAAAGGGGTGTAAAATTAGAGGATTAGTAGGCAAATAGAATAAAAATATAAACGTTACATAACATTGTGTGAAATTAGATAACATAGAATTTAACGTTGCAAAACCAAATTGATTTAGAATGACAAGTGGAACAAGTGAAATAATACTGGAGACAATTCAAAGTGAGAATAGTATTAGTAACGTGCATGTAAATTGCTGGACACAGTTGGGGGTAACATGATGTGGGATTTCGTCCACTCAACTGGTTGTTTGACAAATATATACGAGCTTGGCGGCTGAATATGTTCTTTTCGGGACAGCTTTTAGTCTGAGTCTTATTCTAATAGTAGTGTTGTCACCTTTGAAGGCAAGCTTCAGAAAGGTAGACTTTTTCTCTACTGTACTACAATTCACTTTCCCAACACTACGTTTCCTATGTTTCTAGATGAAGGTCTGCGGGTGGCCATTATTATGCAATTAATTTTCCATGGTAGATGGCTCTTCTTCGACCTTTTCTTCTGATTAAGACTTTCTTACATGGACAGACAATGTTCTACTCAATCTTTTTTTGACTCTTATGGGGTAGAAGCTTTAAAATTTCAGATAAATCTTCCTCCATATATCTTTTCTGGGAGTATGCCTTAAGATTATTCTGTCTCTGTAACGTTGGATACCATGGAAAATAAAATGAAACTTGTCTCCATTTTCACACTACATTTTAAACTTTATGTTAGGATGAGCACTATTCAGGACGTTAAGTATTTGAGAGGCATCATTGTGACAATCGCAAGTGAAGAACGTATCATCGATATACCTGGCAAAGAAGTCAATTTGACCGACTGAGGACTTCATTCTTATTTGTTTCATGTGGCCCGTGGAAATATCTGCCAGAATTAGACCCGTTGGACTCCCTATAGCGACTCCAATTTCGCAGTTCAGAACATTGCTGAACTGAAACTGTATGTCTTTGGTATGTGGTAGTAGTAGCTGTTTGAGTTCTTTCTTTCGCCAAGGAGTGAGATCATCATGTTGACACATTCATTATTTGTAGTGTTTCTTCCAGTAGTACCTTTTTTAACAGCTAAAATACGTCAAATGAAACCATGAATTCACCCGCGATTCTCAAATTCTCTAATCGTTAAGCTTATTGAAAAGTTTATAAGTTTCCAGAATATAATTTAGCACGAATTGGCTATAAGGACTCTGATAGTCACCGAGCTACTCTGTGATAAAGTAAATTAACCATGAAAACAATACGTTTATGCGCTTTTGGTATGCCGTATAATTAAGGTAATCTGGATCTTCTAGGCTCCACTTCATTGTATGTGCTGTTGTCAATCAACTTCTTCTTCAAAAGTCCCATTAGCTCCATGTTAATTCGTCGTTCTGTTGATTCAGTTAGATCTTTTCAAAATACTGATGTATCACCCAGAAATGATTTGACTTTCTGTACACCTGATCCTTTGTCAGATCAAAGAATGACAATAGACTCATTGTTCGGTTTCTTAATACTGTTTATTGATCTTTTACTGAATATTGGAATATAAACGTTAATATATTCTTCACTGTTGTAAGAATTAGTGTTATCTCGCATGTAGGCAGGTTATACGGATAGGAGTAAAAGTTAAAAGTTAAAAATGTATCTGATTTAGCTATCCCGTCATTCCTAATCGCCGTCAGCAGCATCAGCACATACTCTGCAAGAAAACGCTGCTATCCAAAATAACATGTGGATTTCAATGCATTTGCCTTCTTCTTGTGCGCAGCTATTTCAAAATGTGAAGACTTAATCAAAAGGCAATATGACTAAAAATAGCATGATTATAAGGTACTGATAGATTTCTTGCGTTTATGTCTGTTCACAATGTTCTTAGGAAAACATTCGCTCTTTGAGAGAAAATACAAAACAGAGGGAAACATTCGAATCCAAGGCGTGCGGTCAAAATGATTTCTATGTAGGGAATAAAAGATTCCATCATATCATTAAGTTTATTTAAATAAGAGGAAAAGCAGTGTACTTTCCTGTTTGTTATTTAAATACTTCAAACAAGCAGCAAAGATTAATAAAGCAAGATTTGGTGAATTCATAAAATCTCTTCAGCTGAATACTGTGTATACAGCGATATATATACTACCAAGCGGATGTTTCAACAGTCTGGGAAAGCCCAGTCACCAATCTCCAATACTTCAAACTACATATATCGTTTTGAGATTGTTTGTGGAAGCAAACACATAGGTCATGCAAAAGGCGATTGTCTACTAGCATGATGGAACATTTGCCAAAGTGGCTAAAACTGCTGAAGTCAGAGTGCCAAAAAGTTCGATAACAAAGCACCTTTTGGAT